TTATTTTTATTATTATCATCATTATCATTGTTATTATCACCATCACCATCGTTATATGATATAACACGACTGTATRCGTATTATAGAGCAGTTTTCGTATGAGTTAAGTGTGAAAAGGACGTGTGTCACTGCCGTATTATATTGTCTATAAAAACCAGGCGTTCGAATTTTCTAGCGTGCAGTGACCGTGTACCATACGTATACGTATAATATGTATCAATACGTATCACAACATTCTAATATTCAGTCAATACGCACTACCAGCCTCGTCTTTAGCCCCTTCCCCCTCATAGGGTACTGATAAGGGAGTGCATAAGGCTAACAGTACGTATAATTAACTACAAAGCGGGGACCCTTTCGTTTCCTATTCACGGTGATAACTGCTCAACTGTTATATGAATCTTTTACTTTACCTTTTCTTTTTCGKTGGCTGTGTTTCGTCGTTGTCGTCCTCCTCAAGCTTCCTCTTTTCTCTCTCCTCTCTCTCTTTCACGTCTTCTGCATTTGCTGCTCGCATTACACTTTGTAGTTCTGCAGGACTAGATATTTTGCTAGTATGAAACACGTATCTTTGCTCTTTTTCCTTGATTAATGCGACCTGGTCAGGCTGTCTTTTGCTTAATGCTGCTGCGGGCTGTTGACAGGTGAACGGCGGCGTACGCTGTACATTGGTCGACGTTGCTTTTGCCGACAAAGACGCTTCCTGCATTGGAGCTTGGAATGCTGTTGGCACGTGTGGATCGTCGCACTGAACCCATTCTTCTTCGATGGTTTTCCTAAAACGCGTCAACCGAGCCCATAATAAGTCACACGACTTTTCATTACTCTATAGCAATGATAATTCATAAGTAGGCTTTAAGAACAACCCTTACCTGCTGTCCAAAAGAGACTTTTGTCGTCTGTAAACTCTTGCTTTTTGTTGTTCGAAAGTCGAAGTGAAATAAAAGTTTTGAAGACTTGGCGACAAAACATGAATTCTTGAAGTAACGTACTGTAGTATTGAAAAATAGTCTCCTCTCCTCTCCGCTTGTATGGACATATTTATCGCCTCCAATATCAGGTTRTCCTCTTGAGGCGAGGATTTCAGATAGCTTCGAGCTGCTGACTCTAGAAACATATTCAAGCAGATAGCAAGGCCTCGCGAACAAATGAAAGAAAGATCTAATTAGCTGAACTGACGTCCATGCACGAGCAATCTTATTGTCGCACGATTTTATTTGTGTACAGAACAAAAGAAATGCACATTCAGTACATTTTATTCGTCACTTATTGTTTTAGACTGCACGAAGTTCAAAAATAGTGTTAGAGCAAAAAGGTCTATTTATATTCCATGTACAAAAAGACAACTTTTTGTTAAACTCTATCATAATGAATTACTAAAAAAAACCCCTATGTATTAACCTGATAATTAAATCAGAAGAATAGATGTTGGTCGCCTAACTTAAAATATAATATATAATCAAATAAAATAGAAAAGAAGAAAAAAAAACATATAATATATATATGAGAAGGGACAGCACAAAAGGAGGCTAGAGAATTAAGACTCTTTTGATGCAGCGAGTGAATTAATTGCGTCTTTTGTAAGACTGTATTTTCCAGCTAGACACAAGACCCCTTTGGTGATGTCCCCTCTCATATATATAATATAATAATATAAACAACAACAACAGCAACATTACAACAATGACAGGACAAACAACAACAATGAATAAAACAAACAAACAAACAAGAAAGCAAAATAAAACAAAATTTTAAAGAGTATTTGGAATCAAAAAAAAAATTATAGAAATGATTGCAGTTGCTGAACGAGTGATTTTAAAGAAAAAGGCAAACCTGTTTGGTTTGACAAGCTCTTATCTATTTCAGTTTGTTGATTAGCAAATGTGCCAGGGACAACCATATGTTGTTGATGACTGTGAAAGGGTGGATGAACAGCGTATGATTGACCAGTAGTAGGATTGCCCTGATGACGGTCATTCAATTTAGGACCCGCGGCCAAGATATCCGCATATGATAACTGTCGATTTGGCTGTTTGTTCGAAGAAGACTGAATGTAAGGTTGATGCATAAAAGAATGATCCATTTGACTTTGCTGTTGACGTCGTTTTCCATTAATAGACTTTGTTGGTGTTCCTTAGATGGCACTCTTTAAATTTCTTGCAAATGACCTAAAACCACGGCGATTCAAGTGCTTATAATCATACAATAATGAATAATTTGACATATTGTTATTGTGAATGAATTTAATCTGGTTTATTTTGCAGAATTGTTCCATAGCATCATTTACTTCACTGACTTGATTCTGTAAACTGTCTTGTCGCACATAAAGAAGAGTAGATGATTTCTGTTTTTGGAAGGTTTTCTTGAATTTG